GTACGAGTTGGGGAGGGGAAAAAAAAAGGAGGTTTCATCCTCCTCGCCACCATCTGCCCGCCGAGCAGGGCCCCCCTCAGGGCCGGCCCCGCCTGAGGCGCCATGCCCGGGAGGACGGCGCCCCCTGCAGGCCGCGCCGGGCACCGGCGGGAGCGCTGAGGGGACCGAGGGAGCGCGGGGAGCCCCCAGCTGCAAATCGATTAAAAAATAACCGGCTTCCCATCGGAAATCGATAAGTAACGACATTAATGATCCGCCAGAGGGAACGCGCTCGACTTCGTGTCTTCGCGGAGCGCTTCGCGTGTCCGTGCAGAGGGTTAGGTACACTCACGCAGCTGAACGGTGTTCTAAGGAGAAATTAGTGCAATCAGCTTAAAAGCAGTCACTAAAACCGAGCTTTGAAATAAGAAGAGAGACGCGCTCAGGCTTTGAACCGAAGCTGCAAAAAGAACTACGTGAAATTACATCTGTATAAAGAAGAGCCGAGTGCGATGCTGCGGAGCAGCACAACAATTCTACGCAAATACAAATGTTAAAATTACATTAAAGCTACGGGCCGATGCTGCAGCTTGATTTACTGCTTTTACACATTTCTAAAAACTGCTTTTATCGAGAGACGCTGCAGATCACAAAGGGAAAAATTAAACTCCACTGAGAGTTTTCAAAGAACAGTTTCCAGCTCGTGTTCGCAGCGTTTGGAGTTAAACTCTGCGAAGGAACTGCCCTCCGGTGCTTTAAGTTATTATACAGTTAATTTTCTTCGAAACTATTTTTGTCTGCCTCTCTCTAAATAGGTGGTTTCTTAAGTGAGTGTTACTTAAAGGAAACCAATCTGTTTTTCAGGAAGGGCTGATGATGTCAGTCCTTTCAACTCTGCTTTCCCATAAGAATTCTTCTAGTAAAAGGAGTTTCACTCTGGGAAATAGTGAAAAGTAACGTGAAAATATTTAAAGCATCTCAGGGCTGCATGTTTATCGAACTTCCAGTTCTATGCCTGGATTTTAATCATGTTGTGATTGTAACAAATGAAGGAAAAACGAGACAAAACCTTTTGATTTTTAAAATTAGAAGAGATTTTGCAATGAAAAGCTTGCCATACTGAAATATTTATGAAGAGATAAACACAAGCCTTGAATGCACTATGTCCACAACAACATGTTTTTTCACAATTCTAAATTTATCTACTCCATCTCAGCATTGGTATTAAATCTGGAAAAAACCCCATGGTGTACTATGAACAGTTTTTTGGCAAAATTAAGCCATCCAAATAAATACTTCAATCCCCAGCAAAATGCAGGACAAATACAGAGAGTATCATATTATTATGGAATGGTTTTAGTAGGTGTGGATATATAGGTTGAATGTGTGTTTAACTTACTGTATAATAATAATAATAATTATTATTATTATTATTTGTTCTGATACTGGAAATCCCTGCAGCCAGCAACAGAGAAACTCTGAGCAGAGCTACAGAGACTTTATTTCACTTACTGGTGGTGCAAGAAGTAATGACAATAACACTCTGTAAATTTTAATCTGCAGAATAAAAATACTTAGAGAGATATATATATTTCAATCTTCCAAGTAAAACATTACTTTTTAACACCTAAATGCTCTATTCCCATATAGGTGTCCTGAGGAGACCAGGGACACTTTTGCATCACCAAGGACATAGTTTTGTTTTTACTACTCATCCCTTAATCCCCACATCATAGGGATAGGTAAGAACCATAAACCCCATTTTATACAAGTAAAAAGGTCATGTAAGGCCAAATTCTACCCCAATATTCACCCCCACAACCAAGTGATGTCGTAACAGTCTTATAATAGTAAAAGCCCATAAAAGGATCCCAACCCAACTCAGATATTCCTGACAACTCTGGCAATCCAAAGGAATGACAAAAATACAACGTCGCTGGAGTAAGAGACAGAGCAGCCCAAACAAAATCTCTGTCGGCTGTAAAAGGTGCAAAGGAAATATCTCTTTATCATCCTCCCTTTAACAGTTTACTTCATTCTGCTGAAAAGAACAAAGCCCAGCTATGATTCATTTGGAAATGAAATCATCCCCAGCCCCAGTAAGGGCTGACGTTGTGTGGGTAAACAGTTCCTGGGGTGCTCCGACAAAATGTAAATAGATTGCCTGGCTACTATACACACACAGCAAACAGCTTCGGTTTGAAACTGGGAGGTGAAAAATATGACAGAGCACGAGCTCTGAAAATATTTACCAGAACGAAAGCTAATCACAAATTGCCATCAATAAGTTACGATTGCTAATCAGAAAAAGAAGATAAGGAGCCAGTGCTTTGTGCGTGGCAGTCTGTTCTTTTGGCTCAAGGTTGTAGCAATGAGATTTTAATGCAGAAGAAATATTAGTAGGAGGATTAACAGCAGGGTTTTTTTTTAAATTGGGGTTTATTTAAAGTTTTCTGGATTGCAAAGGACACCAAAAAAAAAATCTTCCAGTTTGCCACAATCTCCTCTGAATCAGTCACCTAATCAACAATTTGTCCCAGTGCAATGGTGCTCTCAGGACATGGTCTTTGGTTTTATTTCCATTATAATCAGCTGCATTTAGAGGGATGATTAAGGAAAGCTACAGTTATTCTTCTGGAAGAAAATTACAAAATTAAAGTAATTCCACACATGGGGAACACACAGATTATTACTGCTGTCACACATCACAAAACTGATAGACAGAATCAGCTCAATAAAATTTACTAAGGGTTGCAGAGCAAGTTAAAAGTAAAACCCAGGACTGCTCTTCCCTCTCTGGAGTACTGGCTTACACTCCTGTCACCAGACTGTCCTAACTCCTCCAAACAACAATCATTTAACATTAGAATATGGGAAGGAGCTGTTACAATCTGAGTAAACACATCTTAGCTCACAAATTAAAATAATCATCGGTCTCTGGCTAATGCAGCTGCCACACACACAGACAGACACACACATACAATCCCTCTGCTGAAAGTTGCTGTGAACTTCAGGTTTTTGGTTTTTTTTTTAACAAGTTGATGATAAATGGCTTTTTATAAAAAGCCTATAATGGGGTTCAATATCCTGCCTGCCTGCAGCCAGGTAAACTGAAAGATTACTGAAATGAAAAAGCAGCAATAAAATTACTGAAAACATTACAGTGTTTTCTCAAATGGACTTTTTTAAAATGGAACCATTTTATCTTTCTTTTTTCCCCCCTAAGATTTTTTTAAGACAACTCTGCTAACTCCTCTACACGATCCCCGCAAACTCCTCCTGGAAAACTTTCACAAGCAGGTTTGTGAGTTACCAGCACACGGTCTTAGCTCGTGTCCAACTCCAAGCCCTTCCTCATCGAAGTGATGAGCACAGTCTGTGTGAAATCCTCCAGGAGCCACAGTTACCTTCCTGCCTTAACTGCCCGTGCCCACGTGCAGCCCTCCAACAGAGCTGACTGTTTAAACAGAGCTCGTTTCCAAGCCATGATGACTGCGCAGAGATCTTGAAAGAAATCTGATTTATTATCTTTCGGGACAGACATTTGCCAACCAAAGTCTCAGAACTCTTGGGACACTCCCCTGAAAGCTGCTCCCTTTCTCTCAGGGACTCGTCCACGCACAACCTGCCCACCACTGAGCATCCTGGGGGAGGTGGAACTGCTGAGCCTTCTTTCAGAAAGAAGTGTCAAATCTATTCAAAACTTCAAATGCCCCTCAGAGCTCTGCAAAGGCAACAACTTACTGCAGCTCCCCTTGACAGAAAACAGAATTGGCTGGATGAAAGCTACACAAATTGATAGTTCCTTCCTCTCTTCTGTGTGATGTCAACAGTTAAAAGGGATTTGCCATGGCAAAGCTTTAGCGGTCCCCAGCCTGTCTCAGGCCTGACAGGCTGAGCTGCTCTGCAGCAAGGACAGAAAGTAAACTGGTAGATGATACACAACTGTCTGCAAGGAGGAGGAAACTTCAGAGCACGTTTTGGGTGCCTTCCAGTGGCTCCAGGCAGAAGAGCAGGGCTCCAGAACAGCTATGCACAAACCTTTGTTCAGAAAAGTCCAAAGAAAGGAGAAAATACAGAGGCTTCTTCTGAGACAAGCCTGGTTCCCTTAATAATCACCAAGACATAAAACAGTCCCTTTGATTCCGAATCCCCACAAAGGTTCTCTCTATAGCAGAGAGCCCAGCACAGAACTGGGCTTTCACAAGCACCAGCCCTACTCATAATTAGGGAAGAGGGACTGTCCTTGGCCATTTTGAACACTGTCAGACTGGAAAAGGGTGGGCACCCCAAACAAACTGCTATTGAAACTTCACTTCCATGGAAGTTGTGACTTACTCTTAATGGAAAGGAGGCACAAGGATGCAGCAAATCCCGAATCCAAACAAAGCAGCTTCTAGCACAGACCTCATGAAAGAGAAAGGCAGAAAGAATGGCCAAGACAAAACTGAAGCAGCTGTGGCAATGATGATTTTTGAACATTTCTGAGGCTCCCCTTCACATCCTTCGGGTGTCTCCACCACAGGACCAGGAGGGACAGATCAATTCTTACAGACTGTTTTCCCTTTGCACATTATTTGTCACATTGCTCACACACACACACAAAAAAAAAGTGGACAAAAATCTGTGCCATCAACTTCCCACTGTCTGGTTTCCACATTTCTCCTCGAGCAGCATTTATTGCAGATATCCAGATGTGCTTCCTGACCACTGGGGCTGATGAGCAGTGAGAATTTTAGGTAATGGCACTTGAATACAGACCAGATTACTGACCTAGATGGAAACTAGAGACCTAAAGACCCCCAAACTTTCAGTTTAGAGTGGAAATCATTAACATATCTGTGATAGCATCGTTTACTTGAGCTGCAAAACTCGAACTGTCCTTCTGAGGTATGTCCACCTTGGCTCATTCCTGTAATACCTGCTTACATCACATATTTTTGCACAAAACCCGCAGCACCTTACTTTAGGAATTCTTGATGATATGAGGGGGAGGGAAGAAAGGAAAGCAGTGGATTTACCGTGGAGGGGTGAGCCAGAGGGGCTGCTGGACAGGCCTGGTACGGGGCTGCAGCGTCCCCCTTGCTTGGACGTGAGCTCCTGCTCGATCTCCTCCAGCCCCGCGCTCTTCTGGAAGCGGCTCATGCGATTCACCACCCGGGGGGACATGTGTGTCCTCACACAGGGCTGGCCCCCGTAGGGATTGATGGGAAAAACGTGGGAAGTGCCCCGCAGCGTGCTGACCACCACCCAGCGACAGTCGTGGCTGAAGGAGATGTCCTGGACCTGGAAAACAGGGGAGAAGCGGGATGGAGTCACCAGCGGTCACATCCCTGACGTGGGAAACAGCCACGTCTTAAACCAACACAAATCTTAACTGGAAAAGGGAATAAAAGCATGTTTTATATAAATCAGAAAAGCATATTTTATATAAATCAGCTCTATTATTGAACACGAGCAGCAGTGTAACACCCACAGCCAAATTTTGGGCACTTCTCAAAAGATTTCTGAGATTTTCCTTTTCAACAGGCCCGAACTTAACGAAAACAAACCACGCTGCAAAGTGCCACAGAAAGCCACAAGAGCCTGGTGGAATTTTCAAATAGAACTCAAAGCTCTAAAAAGAGCTGGGAAATCATTTCAATTACATGTTTTGTATTGGCTTGTTTAATTTGTAGAGATTGCCCAAAAAGGGGGAAAAGGAGGGATGAGAAGGAAGAGAGAGACATCTCACCACTGGGCCTGACTTTGACAAATCCTGGCACAAGTCTTATTTTAGCTTAAAATGGCCAGTTTTGAAGCAAATACAAAAATACAGTTAAACATTTTCCACTACAGTTACTCCTTGCATAGATCTCAGATACGAAGTCCAGAAGGATTTAATTCTCTTTTAAGTGTGCTCTACACAACGCTTTGATGGAAAGCAAATTCTTGTTTCTGAAGGAATGCTTGAAAAGAGAGATTAAAGTTTGTTTCTAGCCCGGTCCTGGCAGACAACTCAAGAAAACAAGTAGTGGAGGTTAAAATGATTTATCATAGAGAAAAAAAGTCCTAAACCAATTCTTCCAAAATTGTTTTTAAAGGTAAAAGCTGACTAAAAAGAACCAGCATGCAAGTGGGATTTACCACAGCAAACAAACATACAGACGAAGGATTAGTTCTCATTATATTATTAAACAGCATAAACTCCATAAAATTCTTCAAGATTTCACTGAAGCCAGTTTTACAATACACTAGGTACTCAAATTGGAGTAAACACTGATAAAATCTTGACAAATATTCCAGAAATGCACTCCAGCTATTCCAGACAAAAGCAGCAAAGTATTCATCAAAGTGCAAGTTTCCAACGGAGCCCCCGAAGCCTTGGGAGATAAAAAAAGGATTTAAGTCTTGTGACTTGTGACAAGATATTTGGCTGACAGACTGTCGGGACACAAAATGCTTCATCGACATTACACAGATAAAGCAAAAACCAGCCCTGCACACCTGCTCCTTCAGTCCTGGGGACAGACCCCAAGGATCCACCAACCTCACAGCTCAACCAGCCCCCCAAAATCAGGGATTCTGCTCTTACTGACCTACAGTCACAGCACTCAGAGCTCTGAGTCTGCTCAGAAAGTGCTTCACCCTCACAGATGGCTCAAAAAAGGGTTAGAGACCCCACAGGGATTAAGGAGGGCCAAAAAAGGAAACCCCAAAAATGATGGCACCGAGGGTATTTCTGTTTAAAGGGGCAAATCCTCCTGGTCAAAACCAAATATTATGAGTTGTGTAAAAACTGCCACCCTCAGTCACAACAGAGCTGTGAGATGACAGAGGGAAAAAATGACATCTCACCATCCCATGCAACAGAAGTGTGTGTTTCTACTTCAGTACTTCCAGTGGGCATCCTGGGGTTATGTTGTTGTAAAAACTACACACACCAGCCCTGGCACACGACAACCCAAGCCAAGAAACTGGGAAACAATCAGTACAGGATGTTTTTTTTTCTCTCAGTGTAAACATTAGACACAGAAAAAGTATCCCTGATCTACAGGAGGAAGGAATGGAACTACATAACCCAAAATGCTCTCTTGCAAACAGCCCTCGGGGTGTGCAGTCAGGGTATCGTGGCCATGATTGCTGAAAACACAGAGGTACAAGGTTTTTAATAGTAATAATGGGGAAAAAAGTGTTGACAGATGAGTGTGCAGTGAATTAAGATTTTTAGGAACAGGGCCACGAAACCCTCCTCAGCAGTGACAAAAAGGACTCTGGAAGCTGCTGTCACACAGGCAGGAATTCCACCTCCCTCCTCCTGGTGTCAAACACGGCCTCGTTTGTCCTCCACAGATAAACCAGGAGTAAGAGAAGCACAGAAATTCCAGGAGGTAATTCAGGGAATATTTCCAATGCCAAGGGCAGAATTAAACGTTCATATCAGACCAGCCCAAATCCACCTGTGCCATGCGAAGGACCCTGGAACTTTCCAGCAGCCCTGGAAGAAGGCAGTGGACCAGGCTGAGAGGAGAATGCTCAGAAATTACTCCAAAAAATCAAAAAATCAGCTGTGTGTGTCCATGACAAACCCCATAAATCTTCCACCACGCTGCTCCTGTACATTACACAGAGTTCTTGACTGCTCAGAGTATAAACAAGCTGCACAGTGGCCCATTAGTGGTTTTCAAGTTTATGCTAAGCGTTGCAATTTATTGCTGTCCTTTAGGCTAATGTACTATTATTTCATGTATTTAGAATATATTTCTGGATTTGTTGTTAATTGTGATGTAATGTTTAGATACCAAAGATCAATCAAGACCCCAGAGTGTTTACAGACACATGTTAATAAAGCACAAAGTACACCAGATCTCTCACGATGCACAGTTTATTCTATAGCTCAAGGTCAACATCACATTTAATACTCACGTCTGTAATTCAAAATTTTATCTATCCTCCCCTGTCTGGGGCAGTAAAGGCAATTACAGACCTGAGATTTTGTATAACTTGGGAACCCTTAAGATATTTTCAGCTGCAACACTAAATCCTTTCGTGGGAACATCAGTGCCCTCTCCCAGTTTTACACCCATTTCTTCGGAGCAGTTTGGTCCCTTAAGCTTCACACTACATTTCCCGCATATCCAAAAGTCTCAGTGAAATCCCTGGATACCTCAAGCCCTAATTAGAAGCACAAAAGCCTCTTCTGGCCCAAAGGAATGCATTTAAGGCAACCACAGAATGCTATAAGGGCAACAAGGTGCATCCTCCAATTCTCCCGTGTCTAAACAAGGATCCTGAGAGTCCCACCCTCAGCTTCCTCCAGCTCTGCCACTTCTCTCACCTTCATCACTTGTTTCACACAACCCTTTCCACCAAAGAATTCACTTCTAACTCTGTAAATTCTTTTCAGCCTTCCCCTCTCTTCAAAGAATTCCAGAATGGTTTGGGTTGGAAGGGACCTTAAAGCTCATCCAGTCCCACCCCCTGCCACGGGCAGGGACACCTTCCACTAGCCCAGGTTGCTCCAAGCCCCGTCCAACCTGGCCTTGGACACTTCCAGGGATCCAGGGCAGCCACAGCTTCTCTGGGCAACCTGTGCCAGGGCCTCACCACCCTCACAGGGAAGGATTTCTTCCCCAAATCCAATCTAACCCTGCCCTCTGGCAGTGGGAAGCCATTCCCCAGTGTCACTGTCACTCCAGACCCTTGTAAATAGTCTCCCTCCATCTTTCTTGTCAGCCCCTTCAGGTCCTGGAAAGCTGTAAGTAGGTCATCCCAAAGCTTCTCTTCTCCAGGCTGAACAATCCCAATTCCCTCAGCCTTTCCTCCCAGCAGAGCTGCTCCAGCCCTCTGATCATCTCAGTGCCTCCTCTGGACTCACTCCAACAGGTCCATGTCTTCCCTGTCTCCCCTGTTTTCCTGCAATCACTCTTCTATCCTTCTACCTTCCACTATCCTATTTCCCCGTGTTTCCAACACTATGATGTCAAATCCCCCACAAAACTGAATTAGACTGTAGCTGCCCCGTTCAGAGCCTGCCCCGAGCCAGACAGTCAGGTAATTTAATCCATGGAGTCCTACAAGGACACACCAAGTGCCAACAGCCCTCCCACAGATCAGCTTTCAGGACTGCACAGATCAAAAATCACTTCTGATATTACAGAATCACCAGTGGGGCGGGTTGGAAGGGGCCACAGGGGGTCATCTGCTCCAACCTCCCCCACTTGAAGCAGAACCCTCACACAGGTACTGGCACCTCTTTTCTTAGCAAGGAGAAGGAGCTTTCCTGGGCTGTCCCAGCACCTCCCAGGCAAATCCACCCCTGATGCACGTGCACCATGCAACAGTCAGAAAACAGAGCTCCCAATAAAGAAATAAAGCACATTTTGATCTTCCTAGTGCTCTTTTTTTTTTTCCCCTACAGCCACTTTTTCAGGTGTGGGGAGTTCCACCAGCTGCCATCTGTATATTCTGGTGCACTTCACTGCATTTAATTAAACTTTGATAGTTAATTGAAACAACAGTGGAGAAGGACCAGCAGTGCTGCGGCAGGAACTTGACCTGTTCATGCTCACTGTGCCGTGTCACAGAGAAAACACACCGTCATTTGAGGCACTGGACTTAAGTATTTAATTATGCTGTGCAGAGAGATGGCAGAAAGCAAAAACCACTGTCATTAACAATGAGAAAGAGCAGCAGCACTGAGGAGCTAAGGGTCGAAATAAATTAGAAAACTGGTCTGCACGTGAATTTTTTTGGTCGAGAAAATTAAGGAAATGATGCAGCAACGAACACAAATGAAAAAATAATAAAATCATGGACTGCACAATAAGATTTATCAGACCCACACAGACCCAACTCTGTCTCCCCAAGTCCTCAAAACTGATTTCAGATCCCAGTTTCTCCCTGGGCACAGGGAGATGCTCATGTGGGGTCCCCCAGCCAGAGCAGAGCTGCCTATTAATAACTGAAACTACAAAGGCCACTGCTCCGAGCTCTGGCTCCTCCAGGCACTCAAGCTACTTCTAATTGCAGCAGCTTCTTCGTGTCTGCTCTCATCCAAGACTGATCAACTTCCCAAAATCAATCTTTATTATTTCAAGCCTGTCCCCGGCTTATTTCCTAGAAATTAGAAAGTCTCTCTTCCAGAGACTATTTCAATAACTGCAGCTGTCTGTCAAAGGACAGGAAGGAATTTCTCCTGGCCGTGGAGGTTCACCCCAAACGTTTGTGAGCTGTTCCAACGTTTCACTCCCCGGACATGGGACACGACACAACCTTGCCTGGTCCCTGTGGAATCACAGGAACATTCCTGCATTCCCTGGAAAAGCGTGGAATGGCACGTGCTCCGTGGCAGCCCGAGCTGGAATGTTTTCCTCATTCCCTGTGTTTGCCTGTGCCCACTGAAGTCAGCCAGAGCAGCAGCAGCAGCAGGCTGACAGTGCAGGAGGTCACGGAGGGCCCTGGCCACGGGCCCGCTGACGCTATGGCTGCGTTTATTTGTTCTGGGCTGAGATAATTGTGTTTTCAGGGATTTTGTTTGTTCTGTTTACGATTTCAGATCAAAGGCAAAGGATCATCAGGTGACGCTCTAACTTTCATCTGCAAGCAAATGAGCTTCCTCAGTTCAGAACATGCTATACCTTCATTAAAAGCCTTCCAGAATGCTCCTGGGGAAAAACATGAGTGTGGGAAGTGTTGACTCACAGTGCAAGAGCTGCAGGACAAGAAAAGGTATCCCTGACCAAACTATGCACCACAGACACTGGCACATTTTTCCTCTTTGCAGCTGAACTGTCCAAATGTGGATCCTCTGAGAGCTTCAGGTCTCTCTCTGGCACAGTTAAATACAACCAGCACTTGCAGTGGACCTTCCTGGTGTTATTCAGTGCCTCAGACATGCTGCTTTTTGTCCTCTTAAGGGGAAAAAAAAAATAAAATTCAAAGTGTAAGTGGCACTTCAGGACTAGCAGATCTTAGTCTGATGTAACCAAAACAGTGACTTCTGTCTGTGTTTGCAGAAAAGTGACTTTGAGCGTTGTGACCTCGGGACTTGCATCGTGAATCATCTGAGCTCTTCACATCCTTCCATGGCCATTGTCCCTGCAATTCCCTTCTGAGGCAGAGCTCCCCTTTCCACCTTACCCCATCTTCATCCCAGTTACAGGAAAGTGGCTTTCTTAGGAAGTGACTGATCTTCACAGTCCCGACCCAATGTTTGATTCAGCACAAAAGGCTTCTTCCTGTATTTGCTGCTCAGTGTCAGCCAATGCAACACAATTTGCAATAACAGCACTTTAAAACTCAATAATGCTCTGTTTCATCGTTCAAGGCACCCAGGAGGAGAAAAGGAAAGCCGTGTTAGGAACAGCAGTTCTGGAGAGACAGGAATAATGCTGCTGCTCACCCTGAATTTGTGTCAAGGAGAGGGGAAGCTCAGAAACCCAACCTCACCAGGAATGGTACCTAAACATCCTCAGCACCAGGACACCAAGTGGGCTGGCAGGGACAGGCCCCTTAAATGAAGATCACTGACAGCTGACACGTGGGTGACATGGAGACACTGCTTGACTGCAGTACCTGATCAGAAAACACCCTTATTAAGTCACAACACTGCCTTCTTTTCCTTTAATGCACATTAAGTGGGCAACTTAATCCACTTAGGATGCTTCTGTTTAGGAATGACAGAGGGGACTTCCTGTCACTTCCTCTTGGGAGACACATGAGAAGTACAAGCTCCTGCTCTGCCCTCCAACCACCAAAGCCAAGGTAAAACAGAGACCAGGAATTCTGCAGCCCTGCAAACAGGGATATTCCAGGGCTGGGATTCCAAACCGGGGGAAATTGCAGTTCACACCAATAAACTTGGATCCCAAATTTCTGCTCCCAGAGTGAAAATGGCCTGTCCTGAGTCACACTGCAGATCCAACACGTCTTGGATAAATCAGTCTCACGGTGCATTCCATGTGAAGTCCATTTGTGCAGGAGCAGTGATGCCCTGTGGAAACTTCTGTGTGTCCAGAGCTCAGGCCCAGCCACAGAAAAACCACCTGAGAGTTCTAAAAACACCACCCATGTACCAGTTCTTTGTCCATGGACTGAATGGTCTTATATTCTCAGTAATTAGTATTAGCAAGAAAAACACTAATGGAGACAAAGCAAAAAAAAAAAAAGCCTGTGAAAGAAGGAGATTTTGGGAATGTGGGGTGAAGCTCTGCTGGCCAGAATCTCGTGTCCAAAAGCAGATGATTTCAGCAGGGACATTAAAATCCCACATATAACACGGGCATAATGATGATGTTTAACCAATTTATCATGGGTACTAGCTAAACAAATTCTGACACTGATAATCACTCATGTCCATCAACACAAATTAGAACTTTTTATAGCTCCAGTGCAGAAGGTGACCTTTAAGACCATTGGCCTTGATTCACAGTTAGCTTTAAACCAGGGGGGGAAAAAAAAAGGAAAAAGGTCTGGTGGCAAATGTATAAACACTGTTCTAACCAGAAAGGAGGCACAGAGGCTCCCAGTGTGGGCCACAGAATATCTGCATTGAGGATTTTGCACTGAACAGTCTCCAAAATTCGTGTCTAATGCTACTCATACATGACATTTATACAACAAAAGAACAGCACCACATACTACTCTTCTCACTAAACAGCTACAAATACTTCTATTCCAAAAGAAAACAATAAAACAATTCATCACATTCTGCAAATCTTTTAAATTATGTGTATTGAGGATCACAGGTACCAATGCAATATTGTTTAATTATCCAGGGAGCTGTGAAACTCCCACCAACACACCTCAGACTGGTTAGAATTTTCCCTATTTTCCACCATTCCAAAAGCTATACTGTTCACATCCCAAATGGAAACTGTGTGGCAAACGAGGAAAAAAATTTTACTATGTTGATTCTGAGGATTTTAATGCAATGCTTTCACAGAGATGCTAATACTATACCCCCAAAACCCGGGTATCAATAAGGGTTTCTTCTCTAAGACATGTTCTGTTTGGTTTCCAATGTGTGCCTTGAAAACAAATTTATCAGCTGTAAAAACCAGAAGAACATCTTTGTTCCTTGTGACTGGAGTCCTGTGCTTTGGTTTTCAATATTGAGTCTTTGTATGAAAGGAGAACAAAAATAACTCTAAAACATTAAACACATTATAGAACAGGCTCAATTAGATGACAGAGTGTGTGTATACACACAGATCTCATTGCTCTGTGCATTATTTATAAAAACTACTTGTTAGTACTATATATATTATCCCATAGGCACAGTTTTTTCCTAATTTCCTCTCACTTTCCAGATGGGTTATTCCTTCTTATAGTAAACCACTACCTATAACAGTAATTACACTTTTTCAGAATGGCAGCAGCAAAGCCTAACTTAAACCATCAGCAAATTAAATTCACACAGATTGAAACATTATCAACCACTGCTACAAGCAACAAGGTTTTCAGATTCTACTTGTTACAGAGGCAAAAAATTGAAGGGAAATGGCACAACTCATAAGGAAAAAAAAAAAAGGTTTGAAGGAAGTATAATCAGGGTACCACACTAATCCCAGCTCCCAGTGCCAGGGTCATAATCACAGCGCCCGAGGCCTCTCCCTGTCACACTGCTTTACATCTGCCAGGCTGTCACAAGCCTGTGCTCGCAGTGTGTAATTGCATCAGCGAGTGCAATACTCATTTCTTAGCCCGTGGTGACATTTTTATTTCTGTATTTAGAGCGGGTTCCTCGGCAGTTACTCAGTGCCACGAAGGTGGGGCCCTCCCGGTGCCCGAGAGCGACGCTGGGCTCGAGCAGAGCCACGGCAGTGCCAGCAGGAGCAGCTCCCTGTCCCCCACCCTGCCAGAAAATCACCTCACTGAGCACTGTTTAAAACATCAGCCTTGCCCACCCTTGGCTAACATCCTAACCCGGGGTTCCACCTTTCAGGGTGGGATTTCTCAGCTGGGAAGTCGGACACGTATCACCGCAGAGAGAAGTTAATGGCAGCCCTCTGATTAAGCCTTCCCTTCAACTCTTTAATTGTCTGTCTGTGGCTTTTACCACCAAAGGCAAGCACAGAGCCTGACAGTTGCTCCACGGGCACGAGACAAATGTTGAACATGTTACATGAGAAAAGGTTAAGTGCAAACACAGCCAATAATCGGGGCCCTTTGGAGGCAGTGCCAGAGCTGAATAAATCTGACAGCACCTCATTGCAAAGGGCAAGAATTTATTCTTGTCCAGGTTAAACGCTCTGCTCTTATCCCTTCTGTGGCTGGAACACAAGAAAGGCTCTTTGTGTGCTGAAACAAACATTAAAGTGCCAACATACACAGAATGTATAAGGTGTCTGGGGATTATTCTGCAGCAAAAAGAGTTGGACTTACTTTGGCTTCAGTCTCTCCCCTGTGAAGTGTGTACAAATGATGGACGGCACTTTGTGAGGATGACCAAGGATGTGTCAGGATTTGGAAAACATGGAAATCATGGCCTAACGTGTCAGTGGTGACCAGCAACATCCCTGGGTAAAAAAAACAAAAAAAAAAAAAAAGAAAGAAAAAAAAAAGAAAAAGAAACACAAAAGCACAAGAGATTAATCACTGCAAAAGAAGAGGCTTAAAATGTCTATCTAAAAAAGCAAGCGTGGCTTACATTTGGGTTTCTGGAAACAGGAGAAAACAGACACAGATAATTAGTGAATTGAAAGGGATTCACCTCGTAAAAATGAATCAGAAATTCAGCTGAAATCATATTCACAGTATTACTACTTAATATCTTATTAAGCATTCATATAGTATTACAACACAAATCCATAAAAAAACAACTGAAAAATCTGAATATTCTAACTAAATTTGAGAAGTGTGTGACCAATATGAAGCATTGAAATGATGGATGTTACAGCAAAACCCCAAAATGCTCTTCCCTAGGCAAGATTGATGTCTCCACAACAATAATTCCTGGAAGAAGAGACATTATCAAAACCCAACCAAAACAACCCAGACCAAACCAATCTTGAAGAAGCATCTTTCTTATAAATGAAAGAAACTGATTTATTGGTGAAAGGCAGCAAATCAGAGTTGAGAGCTTTCAAGTGAAATACTAAATTAGGTATTAACTTCATTGAAAACAGGTCACTGGTGGAGGTACTGAAATGATTCCATTAAAAGATCAGCAAAATCACAGTAACTTGTGTTTGTTACTTACTTTTTTCTCCCACTATGAGTCAGTCCATAATTCAGTTTTTAAACATTTATAAACATATTTGAAGTTGATTTGCCATAAAAGTGCATGATTTTAAACCAAAAATTAGGTATTTTTGTACATATAAGAGAAGTGCAGCATCCTGGCAGAACACAGAGCTATGGCAGCAAACCTCAGATTCATTTTTCTGTATAGAAATGTCCATAGTACCATGCTTATCAATGAAATCTAATAAGTTATCAACCCAAAGTAATCCTCTGGCATTTAATTTCTGTCAAATACAAAGTGGTTTTAGCAGTTTAACAGTGACATTCTAAGTAGTTTTCAAGGAACCCATCTGTTAAGGGAGCCCAGGAATTCCCACATAGCTCTGTTGTGATGATTCTCCACATAAGGCAAAACTGAAATCTTTCATCCTTTAGGAAGAGAACCTTATCTCCATGTTTTACATGACACCTATTTAAAGGAATAATGATTATCTCACTGCTGTCATAAAAAAGCATTTGCTTCCTTGGGTTATTTACACGTGGCTCCAGGATTCATCTTCCCCTCAGACACAGACAGGGCACATCTAAAGCTCTCACAGCATCACCACTGAAGTCCCACCTTATGACACTTGGAACATTTTAGAATGAAACTGGAATAAAATCCTCTTGTGTACCGAGCAGCTGAGAAACAGTCTCTTAGCAAAGATCAATTAATTTTTCTACTGGGCCACCATTACATCACTGGATCGCTATCCTGAGTGTTTTCCCTCCTTGGCAATCCTGGAATCCCCCTTCCTTTCAGCCCACGTGGAAAAATTTCAGTGGCCAAGGAGGCCTTGACCTTGTGGGCCCAACATCTCTGCCGGTGCCCCTGAGGGGTCTGTGAGGACACGTGAGGCACGGCCCAGCCCCGACCCCTCCAACCGGGACAACCCGGAATCATCCACGGCTCTGTGGGAGCACCAGCGGCCGCACCCCTGTGCCCCTCAGGAAATCAGCATCCTGAGAGGGCAAACACCTCCTTTGGGGGCAGTGAGGCCCACCAGCTGCAAGGGACAAACTCAGAGAAATCCAAATGGCATCAGAGACAAACCTGCCCTCGAGTCTCCCCTCAGCGTGAGCAGCGAGGCCGGCAGGGCCGGGCCGGAGCGCGGCCACCCACACAGCTCCCACCATCCCTCACCGTCACACCAGCACGGCACCCCAGGCCTGACCTCAGCAAGATCCCCTCCAGCAGACATACTTTTACTGTTACCGGCTGGGACCGCGATCCCGGGTGTTGGAAATGAAAGGGAGTTTGTTATGGAGCTGAGAAACCCGGCAGTGCACTGGGGTATTATGTTTGGGCGGGAAGGCATGTGAGCTGAGGTTGGTCTGGATGTTAATGTTGGCTTAACTGGCAATTTCCTTGATTTGTAGTGACTGTGTTGATAGGAAATACAGCTAAAGTCGCTCCGGTGCGAGTCAGCCAAGTCTTTAGTGTGGGATTGTGCACACAATTTGCATTAATTCTGTTCTGCAACATCACAAACTCCACTTCCCTCCTAGTGAAGTGTGCGGTCCTCAATAATATATAGCATTTCCAGCAGAGAAAGCTGGAAGCAAACAGGGGCTTGTGTGCTGGAATTAGGCTGCCACTGTTACTGGAGCAAGGATATTCCAAAAGGTCTAATTCAACCCAGTAAGAATTTATTTTCCCTATTCCCGTGTTTTTCTCTGCTCACATGTCAGACAGCTTCATACAGAAGTGGAGTGTGCTTTGAGTCCTTTTGAGTTCTCCATTATTCCCTTTGGAGAAGCTGGAAGAGATGAATCCACGAGGCTTCTCTCAACAGTGAGCAGACACCCTGAGCAAACACAGATAGTTTTTTCTTCCCCCAAAGCTCTAGAAGTGTTTTATAAACCTGGACACAGCGCTGAGTGCACCCAGAGATCCCAGCAGAGGTTCCCTGTGGGATTCCATCCCACGGCACGGTGTGAGGAAGATCATAAAAAAAATACTTTAAATGAGCCAAAAATCTGTCTGGAACTGGGGACAAAAAGCTGCCAGTGAAAACACCAGTACTCCCCCCCGTGTTGTCCATCACAGCCATCGGTGTTTGGCCAACCGGGATCTCGTTTCCAGCGCCGGCGAGAACCACAGGTGTCTGCGGGCAGCCAGTGAGCCCACATGGGATAGAATTTCACCTCACAGCCCTTCCCCCAAATCCATAAACCCCTCTTTAACCTGAGCTTTAACCTGCGGTGCATGAACCCCCCAGAGCCCACGGTGGTACCTGTTTGTTCACGGCCCGGACCCGAACGGCCGCAGCCGTGAGCTGGCTCATCCCTCCGGGCTCTGATCGCTTCCAGGTGATCCACACGGTACTTGGTTCCACACCCACGTGCCTCACCTTTGGGTTTTTCAGGGGTTTCGTGGGTTTTGGGTCTTTTTTTCTGTCTTTGCTAACTTAAAGGAGCCCGGAGGTGAAAGAGAATACATTTGTGGGTGGAAAGGAATTGCCTTAAAAATAGAAAGATGGGTGGTATCTGATCTGGCAATTTGGCCTAATCCAAACTCCTGCTGCCTGTCCTGTTTGGAATAAATGCATTTTAGTAGATGAAAGCCGAGGGGAAACAGGCCCTTCGCTTGTTATTAGCGACTTTTTCAGTAAGTTAAAGCAGGACCTTTCACACCCACATTTGCATTTCAAGTACAAATATATACTGGCAGAACTTGTATCAACACGGAGGTCCCAAGCACAACACCACAGATGGGAAAGAACGTGTATTTATAAAACAGCATTTTGAAATGTCTTCCTCACCCCTGTTATTCAAACAATAAATCACCACTGGTTTAGAACACTGCGCTTGGGTTTCGCCGTGGTATTTTCCAGCCCTCACGCTGAAGAATCCCGGGTTTCCATTATCACAGCTCAGCCATTTTGTTGCTCTCTCCATCTCCCTGCAGGAATACCTAATCCCAGCGGGGAAAGGCGAACTGGAATCCTGGTCCTCACCTCACTTTCACTTTCAAGAGCAGGAAACTCCAACTCGGCTTTCTGAGAGACCTTGTGACAGTTTTCCCAAAAAGTTGTTTAGACGGAAATACGGGTTAAAGCTGCCGTAAGTTCAGCCCGGAATGTTTTCTCTTGTGATGTACTTTATGGATGAATAATCAGAGATGAAAAGTGAATAATTCTTGAGGATTTCCTGCTTATTTTTCAAACTGGCAATAATCCCTGTTTAACAGATAACAGCTGAAGTCTTGCATACACAGGACCCAGTGGAAATTTATGTGTAAAACAGACATTATTTAGAATGTATCTCACTGCAAAAATTCTGATTTTGCTTGTCCATAGTAAGAGGGTGCAGCCAGAATAAATTAATGACTGTTTTACCGTGTGGCTATTTTTAAATCCACGGAGCTGATTAAAATCCATACTTAAAGGAGGAGATAGATATCCTAGATGGGAAAAAAAATTAGCAAAGCTTTGTTTTACCTGCCCTAATTTACAGCTTCCTACTTTTCCTGCATTCTTTTTGGGAAACAATAAGCTTCTTTCAGGATAGAAACGTTTAAAAAACACCGGGAATATATGCATAAAAGGAAAAACTGGTACAGATGTAGACTGTGGGCTAAGAGCTATTTATGCAGTATCAGAAGACTAAACCAGACTCTGGCCTGGCCATAAACTAAGCCCACGCCCTAAATGAGGTGCCAAGCCACAAAAAGCATTTGCGTCAACTGGGAATACAAGGAAAAGAAGGACTTCTAATTATAGGGCCTGGAAGCGGAAGCCCAGAGTGATTAGGAGTTTAGGCGCTGCTGTATGTTTATCTGGGAGCTTCCTCTCGCTCGCTCTGGGCCCGGCTTTGATAGATGAGGCTTGGCCTAAAGGGTGGGATGGCAGTCGCCGCCGGTACACGGAGTTCTCCGCAGTCCCCGGGAGCGCGGGCGGGATGTGCCGGCACAGAACCCTTGGCAGCTCGGCGTCAGCGGGGCAGCCCCGGCGGCAAATTAGAGAGCAGGGCCCGCTCTGGGCAGGGGCTGGGAAGCTGGGAGAGCCGAGCAGCCCCAGCACCCCACCACATCCTATTTATAACACCTCCCGAGGCAAACGAGGCCCCGGAGGCTTCACCTCGGGCTGGAGCTTCACGGGGAGCTTTGGGCTCCACTGGGCAGAGCACAGTGCTGGGAACACCAAGGCTGGGGGGCTGAGCCCAGATGGGCCACTCGCTGGATCTCGATGATCCTCAGGGACCCCTTCCAACTTCCAGTATTCTGAGACTCTTAATTCCCATTTTCAGAGGGACAGGAGGGTTTCCCACCTCCCAGAACGATGTCATTCTG